GTGGGGGAGGGGGCAGAAAGCACACCCAGGCTGCTGGCACATATCAGAGATTCACTCTCCAAAAACTGCTTCCTGACAGAAATTTGTGGGCACTACAGCGAAGCAACCGTCCACATTTTATCTCTTTTCATTTTCTCTCTTTGCTCTCCCTCAATAAACACACACACACACACACACACACAAACACACACACACACTGAGCAGCCTCAACAGCAGAATTTATAGTAGACACCTCATATTTCAAACAAGTCTGATTGGTGTGTGCCAGTAAAGAGCTGTGTGTGCAACACTCAGCCACTGACAAAAAACACACACACAAGCGCACACACACACACGCACCTCTTACACATCAAATCATACCACACACCAACAACAAAGACACCGAGCCTCTAGGTACACACTGTTTACGCAGATGATTCATGCATATATACGCATACAAATACTGCAACCCCCCCCCCAAAAAAAAAAGTACACACGAGGAAACACACACTGTACACGTGTGTTTAACACAGACATTTATGCTAATGACCGTGGCTGTTTAAAAAAAAGGAAGTGGTGAAATAAAGGACGGTTAAAAGACAAAAGTCATTTTTCAGACCGTTTTCTTTCTCTGTTTCCCGGATTCCCGGATGTCTGGATGGAGTGCAGTGAGGATGGACGGATGGATGGATGGAGGGATGGATGGATGGATGGACGGATGGATGGATGGAGGGATGGATGGATGGATGGACGGATGGATGGACGGATGGATGGACGGATGGATGGACGGATGGATGGACGGATGGATGGATGGATGGACAGATGGATGGAGAAATGGATGGGTGGATGGATGGACGGATGGATGGACGGATGGATGGATGGATGGATGATAGATGGATGGTTGGATGGATGGATGATAGATGGATGGTTGGATGGATGATAGCTGGATGGTTGGATGGATGGATGATAGATGGATAGATGGATGGATGGACGGACAGACAGATAGATGAATGGATTGATGGCTGAATAGATAGATAGATGGATGGTTGGATGGATGGATGGATGGATGGTTGGATGGTTGGATGGATGATGCATGGATGGATGGCTGAATAGATGGATGGATGGATGGATGGACGGATGGATGGACGGATGGATGGACGGATGGATGGACGGATGGATGGACGGATGGATGGATGGATGGACGGATGGATGGATGGATGATAGATGGATGGTTGGATGATTGGATGGATGATAGCTGGATGGTTGGATGGATGAAGGATGGCTGAATAGATAAATAGATGGATGGTTGGATGATTGGATGGATGATAGCTGGATGGTTGGATGGATGATAGCTGGATGGTTGGATGGATGAAGGATGGCTGAATAGATAAATAGATGGATGGTTGGATGGATGATGGATGGCTGAATAGATAAATAGATGGATGGTTGGATTGATGATGGATGGATGGATGGTTGGATGGATGAAGGATGGCTGAATAGATAAATAGATGGATGGTTGGATGATTGGATGGATGATAGCTGGATGGTTGGATGGATGGATGATAGATGGATAGATGGATGGATGGATGGTTGGATGGATGATGGATGGCTGAATAGATAAATAGATGGATGGTTGGATGGATGATGGATGGATGGATGTCTGAATAGATAGATAGATGGATGGTTGGATTGATGATGGATGGATGGATGGATGGTTGGATGGATGGATGATGGATGGCTGAATAGATGGATGGATGGATGGTTGGATGGTTGGATGGATGGATGATGGATGGATAAATGGATGGGTGGATGGATGATGGATGGATAAATGGATGGGTGGATGGATGATGGATGGCTGGATAGATAGATAGATGGATGGTTGGATGGATGAAGGATGGCTGAATAGATAAATAGATGGATGGTTGGATGGAGAGATGGATGGACACGAGGAAACACACACTGTACACATGTAGCCTAGTATACACACCACCGTGTGTGTGTGCATCTGTTGACACACACAATAAAAAAGCGGAAAGAAAAAACCACATCCTCTAATACACACAAACACACACACCATTTGTCAGGAAATTAGTGTGTAGCTGCTTCGCTGTGGCCCATTAAGCTCAGCAGCTGACGTGTGGTTAACACACAACAGACATTTATGCTAATGACCGTGGCTGTTTAAAAAAAAAAAAAGAAGCGGTGAAGTAAAGCCTCGTTAAAAGACTAAATTCATTTTTCTTTCTCTTCTTTCTCTCTGTTTCCCAGTTGTTACTGTTATTCTAATGGAGCGTCTCCACTTAAGTTCTGGGCTCTAAAAGCAGCAAACCACTACTGAGGTTAAAGTTAAGGTGATGTGAAAAAGAAAACTAAAGTGTAGTTTTTGAATAGACTTCAAATACGCCAAAATCACAAATGCACACTTGCTGCAAAAAGATTCTGGTTTTGTCAGAACCAAATATTTGGGGTTGACAAATCCGCGTCTGTGCTCAAAAACAAAACAAACAAAAAAAAGAGACAGAGAAGTGTGTGTTTTTCAGGTCTATGAATATGTTATTAATTGTCATTGGTTGCTGTTAGCTGGTTCAAAATACAAACTACAAAACAGCAGGAACGTCCTGTAGGCATTTAACATAGAGAATAGAATGTCTGAAATGTTAACCTGAACACATTTACAACTGGTCATGTGCACGAACATGTTGATGGATGGATGGATGGATGGATGGAT